GAAGGGCTTAATTTTCTTATGGGTAGCAAAGGAAGTAATTGAAAGCTGGCAGAGAGCTGAGCAAGAAGCATTGTTCCCTCTTAGACCCCTCCCCCACATACAGCATCACAGTGAAGCCACGTGGGTTGCCCCACCCTGGCAAATACCTAAGGCTCCACCCCTTACTACATAAAAGGCGCTCCAAGACCCACCCCCAGAATGGCCCATATGAAAGAACAGATCAAAACTCCAGAAAAAATACAAGCAAGTGAGGAAGAGACGGCCAACCTATCAGATGCACAGTTCAAAACACTGGTAATCAGAATGCTCACAGAACTGGTTGAGTACAGTCACAAAATAGAAGAAAAAGTGAAGGCTATGAAAAGTGAAATAAAGGAAAATGTACAGGACCAACAGTGACAGGAAGGAAACCGAGACTCAAATCAACAATTTGGACCAGAAGGAAGAATTAAACATTCAACCAGAACAGAATGAAGAAACAAGAATTCAAAAAAATGAAGAGAGGCTTAGGAACCTCTGGGACAACTTTAAACATTCCAATATCTGAATCATAAGGGTGCTAAAAGGAGAAGAGGAAGAGTAAGAAATTGAAACCTTAGTTGAAAACATAATGAAGGAGAACTTCCCCAATTTGGAGAAGGAAATAGACTTCCAGGAAGTCCAGGAAGCTAAGGGATTCTCAAAGACTTGGACCCAAGAAAGCACACACCAAGGTACATCATAATTTCATTAGACAAGATTAAAATTAAGGAGAGAATCTTAAAAGCAGTGAGAGGAAATGAGACATTACCTACAAAGGAGTTCCCATAAGACTCTCAGCTGATTTCTCAAAAGAAACCTTACAGGCAAGAAGGGGCTGGAGAGAAGTATTCAAAGTCATGACAGGCAAGGACCTAAATCTAAGAATACTCTATCCAGCAAAGCTAGAATGGAAGGGCAGATAAAGTGCTTCCCAGATAAGGTCAAGTTAAAGGAGTTCATCGTCACCAAGTCCCTATTATATGAAACGTTAAAGGGACTTATGTAAGACAAAGATGATCAAAAATACGAACAGTAAAATGACAACAAACTCAGAACTATCAACAACTGAACCTAAAAAAAAACGAACTAAGCAAACAACTAGAACAGGAACAGAATTACAGAAATGGAGATCACATGGAGGATTATCAGTGGGGAGGGGGTAGGGAAAGAATGGGAGAAAAGGTACAGGGAATAGAATCATAAATAGTGGACACAAAATAGACAGGGGGAGGTTAAGAACAGTATAGGAGATGGAGAAGTCAAAGAACTTATATGTATGACCCATGGACATGAACTAAAGGTGGGGAATGCAGGTGGGAGAGGGTGTGCAGGGTGGAGGGGAATAAAGGGGGGGAATTGGACAACTGTAATAGCATAATCAATAAAATATATTTAAAATAACAATCACTGAAAAAAGAAAGTAGGATACAGACATTTACTTTTTTTTTTTAAGGGTAGAATTCAGTCTTTATTTACCGGACACTACCAGATATGAAATTTGACATAGACATAAGAAACGCATTGAGAGGAGAATGCACATACTGTATGTGCAGGTTGGAACTAATCAGGTACAATTTCAAGTTGTAAAAGGCACTACAGTAACAAACCACATTTGGAAAGCATTCTTAGTAGAGACACAGTAGGATGAACTTACATCAAATATAGCGCACGACGAAGAGCTTTCTGCCTCCGCTGCACGATCCCGAAGTTAAAGGTCAGGGGAGTGGCATCCTGAACTTGGACCGTAGGGCCGTCAGGTGTAGTTACTGGCACATTTTGATCTTCCTCTCCCTCTTCCTCTTCCTCTCTCTCTTCCTCTTCCTTTACAGAGAAACACTGTTCAATCAAGTTTAATAAAGCTTTGTACACAGGCTCATTTTCATGGTTTTATAAAGCTTCCATTTTGTCTAAACGCCCACATTTTTTAATCATCATACTAAGTCTCTCCATTTCACCTAGTTTCTCCACCCGGAAGTTATTTGAAATGCCACCAGCATAACCGAGTCAATTCTGATATTTTTCGCAGCTGAGAGCTCCATCGATGGCTCTCTTGCGCCACAAGGAATGAGGTGTACAATCTGTTCAGCTGTTCCTCCACCGCTTCCTTCTGTGCCTTGAAGTCTGCCCTAGAGCACGGGTGAGGAGCGGGGCCGATCCATCACCCACCACTTGCTGTGTCCAGCCCCGGCGGCCGGCTGTGATGTGTGACGTTGTCCATGTAGCTGCCCTCTGAACATCAGTTCCAGAGTTCATTAGCAGGCTGGGGAAGGCGGCAAGGGCTCTCACATCTATCACGGCCTGAGTCTGTCCGTCTGTCCCAGGGATGACGTTTCCCTCCTGCGGCACCTAGCGCGGGAGGCACGATCGGCGCCTGAGGAGCTCCTCGGGGCTTCACAGGTCGGGGGACACAGCCTCTGTTTGCACAGCCGTTTCAGGCTGTTTATTTGCGCCATCAATCAGTAAGGCAGGAAACGGCCCAGCAGCTGTCCGCCAATACTCCTGGGTCATCGTGACTCAGGAGACGAGCTAAGGTAGGAAGAATCTGCTCAACTGCCTCTCCCGATGGTGCAGCATTTGGCTGTGACAGAGGTTTGAAAGTGTCCAGGTGAGATTGCCTCAGTTACCACACGCTAACGACGGCATGCTGGGAACTGCAAGAAGAGCCGACACCTGCACCAGACTCGATAACCGTGTTTCTTTCGGGAAACGGAACCGTCCCCTGCAGCGTTTCCTGGGGCCCATCCGGCTCGTTCCCGGCTGTGAGCCCGGGGACGTGCCAGCAGAGAAATGAATGCTGGGATAGCAGCTCCGTCTGCCACGGCCTCGGCCTGTGAGTGAGGCCCCACAGCGGTTCACCGTGAGTGGGACTACATGCAGTCAGTCCTGCCCCGGGAGGACACACGTCGTGGACCAAATCGTCATGCACGGCTGATGCTCCCGAGAAAGCGGTTTCCCATTAGCTCGAGCAGCTTGGAGCTGCTTTCCAAGCGGCTGCTATTTGTGCCCTTGACACGGACCTCAACAGACCCATGTACAGTGGCCTGGTTGCTGTGGTTCTTCTGCGGTGGCGAAGCAGCGGCATCAGGACACGAGCTGACATTTCTCCTTTTTAGCATCTGGTCATCCTTCTTTGCTTTCCTCAGCTCCTTGCCGACGCCTCTTTTCTGTGCCGCCTTTCCCCTGGTCCTTGCTCCTGCGAAGGCACACAGCCGGCGAATCAGCGTTCTCGTTGGCGGACGTGGTCGTGAGGCCAAAGGAGGAAGCTAAGGGCGACTTGGGGTTCACAGACCCCCGCTGCAGTTCGCCTGCTCCAGAAACGCCCCCGCAGATCGGCCCGAAGCCAGGGTGGCCGGGACACAGACATTTTCAAACGTGCAAGTTCTCAAAACTTGTGCTTCTCCGGCATCCCTTCTCAGTGAACTACCGGAGAAGGTGCTGTTCCAAAATGAGAGTAAACCAAGATGGACACAGGATGTGGAAAACAGGAGGGCCAGCTCAGGAGGGACATGTCAGGTGACATGGCGAAGGGACATGTCAGGTGACAGAACTCTGTGATCCAGAGAGCCCAGCCCGGGCAGTTGAGAGTGTAGCAGTGTGACTCCGTTAGCAGGCCCGTCACCGTCACACCCTTTCCCACCCAAGGACAGACTCTCCGCCGAAGCCTGACCTAGATTCTCGAGTGTGCGTGTGGTGTCTCGACTGTGGCTGGTGACGCTCCGTCTCCTTTCATATCCTGCTGCTGCTGCTGCTGCATGGGCTGAGACATCGGCCCCCAAGCAGTTTCGTCCTTGGAATTTTTCCTGAGAACTGGAGGGCTTTGGAGCAGAAAACAGAAGCTGCCTGCCCCAGCCATAATTTTTATGGGATGTCCAGCCTAGCTAAGAGGGGCGTGGATATGTAAAGGAAATAGAAGAACACAGAAAGCTAGGTCACGTGTGCTATGTGCCAAACATTAATTTCCCTGTTCTAGGACTACAGGGAGTAAGTTCTTTAAAAAAAAAAAAATTAAGTAGCAAATCCAGACTTTAGAACTGGATTTAGCCCATTTATACCACCTAATACGTAAATGCATGTATATAGATATCCCAAGAAAAAGTTCTGTGTCCAAAAATGTTTGGAAAAATACTTGAATAGATTACCGTACCAATGGACGCTGTTCACCTCCCAATGGGAGGGCCAACATGGGACCGCCCAGCCCCCTGCGACCTGGAAGCACTGCTTTCACGGACGCCCCTTTCCGCGGCGCCCCCAGGGGCATGGCGTCCTGAGAGCACAGCTCGGGAGTGACGGTTGAGAACGAAACGTGAAAGAAGAGACTTACTATGATAGCATCAGAAAGGAAGTTAAAATGTTATTAAACCTTTAATTTTGTAGCAAATAAGTTTAGAATGCATTTTATTTTGTGTATTGTTTCTTGTGGAAAAATGAACTGTATATGTGTGCAGTATATCCTAGATCTCAAATGGACTGGACTTCAGTCTTGACTATGTTTGATAATTGAGAGGAAATAATTCGTTTCCCAACTTCTGGTAGCTGCAATCGGTGGTTTGTTTTGCCGAAGTGTCTCTGTAGAAACAAAAAAAAGGAGACGGAATCTAAGTTGCCGTTTCCTCAGACTTTCTACCTTAAGTGCTAACTTAAAATGCCACCAGTAGGACAGGGCGTAAGACTTCCATTCTGCTCTCTCGGATAAGTGGGGTGTAAAAGCATGTTTGTCAGCATCTGAGGGTGAAGACAAATATTGATCATCTTACTTTCGTTTCATTTCTGCGGTATTATTGACATACACTACATCTTTAGATTTTCTGTTTTCCCACTTTGGGTTTATTTAGGTTTATTATGATTATTTAGCATATAAAATTCTAAGTAGCATATTTATATCAAGACCTTTCAGATAAGATTTTACATTATAAAATTATTTTAGCTATTACCCTCATTTGAAGATTGCATAACCTTTCTCTCTTGTTTATATATTTCAGTTTCAACCACCTCTGAGGTGACATCGTCCTTCTCCACCTTGTCCATGTTGTCTCCTGACTCGGCCACCCCGGAAAAGTCCACTCCGCTCCTGCCCCCGACTCTGGCCGGACCGTCCTTCTGGACTGTGTCCCACCCACGGGGTTCTCCAGCCTCCAGTGCAGACAGAGAGAAGGCAGCCGGGGTCCCTCGCCCCTTTGTTCCTGGGGGCCCTGTGTCTTCCGATGAAGAAACGGACAACTTCAGTCCCCCCGACGTTCTTCCAGATCACTCTGAGTCAGCTAAAAAAAATCTCAGTCCTCTTTGCAGCGGTAATTGGGTAGAGTTCTCTGCCCAAAACGTAGGCCACTTCTCCTGCCCCAGTGTTCAGACGAGTGAAGGCCGGCCTGGGGAGCCTGAGGCAAACAGTTCCATTCCCGTCCTTCTAGGGGAGGTAAAGAATGCCATAGTCACACTGCACAAGGACCTGAGTCTGGTGATACAGGAGCTCGGGGTCATCAATAGCCACCTGGTAAGCATGGGTGGGAACAGCCTGCAAACGAGCACGGCTTTGCAGTGTCCCCCGTCTTCCGAGGGGAGCTCGGAGCACATCTAATGGTCCCGAGGGCCATGTCTGATAGAACTCGCGCGGTTCCACGCCCCACACCCTCAGCCGACCTGTTCTAGTCTCTCATCACTACGGCGAGACAGGGTGACGGTTCGATTTTTCTTTGTCGGGTTTATTGACAATTCACACCAATAAATTCGTCTGGGTGGTTTATTTTTAAAACAGAAGAGGCATCACTTTTGATCATATTTTCCGATTTAGATATTAGTTCATTTGAAACTGAGGAGAATTTCGCTCTTCCACTCTCTGTACTTAAAATCAAAACACGTTATGCATTAGTGAAAGTTGTGGTAGGACCTCAAACGGGAAATGACTACAGTTCGAGAGCTTTGGGGTAACTTGGCAATAAGAAGCCCTTTAATTGTCATCTGTTTGGAGCATCGTTGTTAACAGGCCTCCACCTGGAACTAGGGAGACTGAGCCTGGGGCGCACATGCACACGCTCTCGGGCCAGGCCTCCGGCTCTGGGAACCATGGGCTGCGGTCTTCCCCTTCTCGTGGGCGCCACGCTGGTCGGGAGTTCAGCTGAGACAAACGGAACATGGAACGGTGTTTTCGTTGTTAATACACTCGTATATTGCAAAGTGGACTCATGCATATTTCTTTTCTCTCATATTTTTTAAAATAAGTTTGATATTTTCATCTTGTAGTATCTCTTTAATTCATTGAGACAGCCTTTCAGACAGAAATGTCTCTATTGCTATATTCATGGGCAGAACAATCTACCCTGGGGATTATAGGGAAATGCCTAACAACTGTCCTGCACGTGAGAATCACTGGAGGCGCTTTTATTTTGTTTTTTATTTAGCTGAGAGAACAGTGTAAGGCTCTGCATGGACCTATCACTCAGTTTCAACAATTATCTACGAAAGACTAAAATGATCCCTGATCATTTTTAAAGGATGTGGGACATGTGAAAAAAAATTATTCTAATGCCTGGGTGCCCCTCCCACACTGACACTGGTTTCCACCACGCAAACTGGGTCCAGACCCAGAGGGAACCGTGAGTGCGAAGGCAGGAGAGCGGGAGGATGGTCGGCGTGTTTGAGGGACCCCGAGGAGGTCGGTGTGGCCGAGGTGAAGTGAGGACCGGGGAGAGGGGGACAGACTGAAGGAGAGAGCAGGGCGTGGCACCGATGGTGCTGGTTCTTGAAGACTGTCGTCAGAGTTTTGTGGAGTACCCAGGTTCACCCAGGCTTAAATTCCTCATAAGGGATAGACCATTTTCAATTCATTCTCACTGCGTAGCCATTGGATTCGACTTACCTTGTGTGAGGTGACTTCTGCCCCTGTTGCCCTTCAAGGTCATCGGAATGATGGTTGGGATTTGCTGAACTCCATCAATGCCCTTGGGGAAAGTGGCTTCTGCAGCCAGTTACCTATCAGGTCTCAGGGTTTCTCAGAGCCAACTATTTCCAAGACTCTGCACCAGGCTCTGGGGCTATAGTGGTGAGTAAACTCAAATATAGTTCCTGACCTCCCAGAGCCTGAGTTCTAGAGGAGTTTGAGAGGTTAATCAAATTGTTTTTCAGACCTGTAAAGGGCCCCGGCCTAGTGGGTCAGTCGGCTGAAGCGTCGTCCCGTACACCAAGCTTGTGGGTTTGGTCCCTGGTCGGGGTGCCTACGAGACGCAACCGATCGATGTTTCTCCTCCCTCCTTCTTTCTCCGCCCCCACTTCCCCACTTCTTTTCTCTCTGTAAAATCAATAAACATATCTTTGGGGGAGAATTTTTGTTTTTTAATGTAAAGGCTAATAGTTCTGAGAAAGGTTATTCAGGATCTGACCTAGCAAGGGAAGTACTTTTGAGCTGACATATGAATTCAACGATTTGTTAATTACCATAATTAGCAAGCACTTATTTGAGTTTCTATTTAGCCAACTCCATTAAATGAATAGAATAAACTTGGCTCAAATTAAAAGTGGGTATATTCTGATTGACTTGGTAATTATCTCAGATTTGAAATACTTCATTAGATGTTACTGCCTTAAGGACTTTACTTAGAACTTGAGATCTTCTACGGCAGCCATAAAAATATTTCACAGTTTCCTTACTGTTGAGTCACTCACGTGTTCCTTCTTCAAATTTGTAAGCAGCACCCGTTGTGAGCAGGCAGTTTGCTAGACACGGGGGACACGATGCTGAGCAAGATGGATGCATCCTGTGTCCGGGTTGCAGCTTAGCGGAGACGCAGAGAGCTAAGCGGGTAATCAGAGTGTAGCGTGTAAGTCCCGTGGGTTTGGGAAGCACAGGACGGTGGGGGAGGGCCCGGCCAAGAGTGACGGCCAGCTCCGATTTGGGAGTCAGGGGATGCTTGCTGGAGGGGACGATGACGCACAAACGGAACCTGGAAGGGAAAGCAGGAGTTAGTGAGCAAGGGGGGTCAGGGCAGGGGGGCTATTTTCCAGGCAGAGAGAACAGCGCGTAGGAAAGGTCGGCGCCAGAGAGAACTAGGTGAGTTCGAGGGCAGGGTGTCCAAGACCAGGGTTCTGGAGACCTGAGCCCCTCCGTCTCCCTTCAGGCAGCGACACAGTCGGTCGTGGCAAAGCAGCATCACAGCCGGAGTCACACAAAAAGACGGAGTGACGAGGACATGGGTCGTATTGCAGATAAAGCGCCATGGAAGTGCGGGAGTTAAAGGGTTCCCCCGATCCCTCCGAAAACTGATTTAAACAGACTTTAAAGAGGGTTCTTGGACACCGTGGTGACACATGGCCCCGCTGAATGAGGTCATTGTGACAGTGGTTTGTTCCTGGGTGGGCCAGGGTCCCTCCTTTTGCGTGCCGTCCTTTGAGAGAAAAAGGGACGAGTGGGCACAAGTCGGTGGACGGGGTCCACATTCTGCACACCGGGGGGGCTGTTTTGCTAGGTTTCACTTGGTTTTCCATAGAGCGGAGGCCGAGAGGTGATGAAAGGGTTTGGAGACGTGAAACTGAGAGGTTTCTGCTCCTTGCACAACACCGAGTAGTCTGAGGAGGCCACGCACAGCATCGCTGTGGAGCATGCGCGCGCCGCCCCGCCCTCTGTCCGCAGGCAGGCTCAGCGAGGGGTCGACGGGCTGCGGAGAAACTCGGTTTTCAAGACGGTTTTGTGTGGTGATCTCGAGTTGTGTTTTCTCATGGATGGTGCGGAAAGTTCTCAAAGACATGGCAATGATTGCAGAATTATGGCCTCAGGCATCTGCAGCTATTCAAACAGTGAAATTCCTTCATAAACTACCACACTCGGGGTGTTCAGCTGTGCCGCCCCCGGGAGCGCGTCTCCTGTAGCGTGCACCACATGGCCCTCAGCACGCAGGGCGCCCAGGGCTGGGTGCAAAAGTGCGAGTTCCAGGACCTGGGGATCCGTGAAAAATGTGCAGTAAGAGATGGGAATGAGTGAAGCGTGAACGCTCAGAATGTTCTAAGCTCTGTTTCATTCTCTCACCAGCCTTACCAGGCAGTCCTAGTGCTGTCCCATGGCACTCGAGAAAACAGGCTACAGAAAGCTAAGGTGCTTGTCCCGGGTGACACAGGTAGTAAGTAGTAAAGGTCAAAGCCAGACCTTGACACCTGGTCTGTCTTGGTGTAGAGCTTGTGCTTATAACCGCTTGGTCCCTGGACCATTCAAGGTGAGGTTGGCCTGCTGGGCGGTGACAAGGAAAGTGGGGAAGACAGGCTGGTCCACTTTCTTGGGGAGGAGCTGGAGCTCCTGCCTTCCCCACTTGCCTTTCCCATTTGCCTCCTGCTCTCCAGTGGGTCACCCAGCCCTCCCCCCACTCCTAGGACCACTCTGCAGAAGCCGCCTCCCCAGCCCTTATGGGTCTTCTTCCGTTGGCTCCCTGGTTTGCGAAGGGCCTTCTGCCTCCATGTGCTCTCCCCAGCCCTTCCTGGCCTTCTTTCACGTCTAGACCCAAATTGGCAGAGGCAGGGGCAGAGCTGGAACAGGCTCAGGGCTGGTTTGGAGAGGAAGAGACTGTCCCCCTTTCTCCTTCCCCAGCTAACCAACCCTGGGAGATGTCATGGAGCCACACATTGTGTGATTCTCACTGCAGACTGTGGTCACGGGCTCACTCACACCAGCAGTGAAGTTCACTTCTGTGATGGGTCTCTGCCTCTGGAGTGCATAATATGCACTTGAAAACCACAAAGAGCAACCCAGAAACAGCCGACAGAAAGTAACAAAAAAAAATTAGTTTGGGCTTCAGTTACTTGTAACAGTAATATGTTCATACTTCATGTTGTGAAAAAAGTGGTGGGGAACCCTTAGTCGTGTCTCCTAGCGGTTTGCTTCGTTATCTCCTCGGTAATGACGGGACACTGTTTCACTTCCACATCCCGCCCCCCCACCCCCACCCCACCCCCCACCAGTAAGAGAGGCTCAGGCAGTGGCCACCAACCCCAGAGGAGCTAGTCGCTATTACCCCCAAATCTGCCTGTTCCGCCTGCATTCCTCCAAGGCCCCAAAAGCTAGGAACAGCAGAAGGGCTGAACTAGAAACGGTGACACACTAGATGAAGCCAAGTATGAGAATGAACACAAAGCTCGAAAAGCACATTTTCCAAAGATAAAGACAACTAGCAAACGGGCAGGAAAGTAACCCGCCTCGCTCTAGCCCTTTCACGGGGGTGGATGGCAGGTCCAGAGAGACCCACCGGAGACAGAGACAGCTGACAGTTTGAACAGCTTTGGGAAAGGGACATGACGGGACAAAACTGAGAAGCTGGTCTGAGGCTGAAAGAAGCAGGAGTCGGTGGGTGGGGGGGGCGTTGGTCTGTGATGGGGGCAGGGACGCATGGCCGCCCACCTCAGCGAGAGCACAGCGGGGCCTGCAGGCAGAGACTGGCGGGCTCACCGCCCCCCTCAGACCCCCCACTGCACCAGGACGTAGAAGAGGGCGCAGTCCTCCCCCGGGGCTGCAGGAAACATGAAGCCGAAACTTCCTACCTTCGTGAGGCAAGGAGCCCATACGGGATATGCGTGAGCTGCATGCACGCCTACTGCCTGTCC